TCATCCTCCCTTCGCCGGCTAACTGAAGTCGAATGGAGGAACTCGGATTAGCTGAGTAGTACATGTACAGTATATGCAGGCACGTGCAGAGGGGGGGGCGGAGGGTGCTTGAGCACCCGCCCCTTTCCTCCAGGATGCCTCAAGTGCCCTTTTCTTGGGTTTTTTTTTTTTTTGTTGTTGTTGTTTTTTTTTTTAATGTGTATGTGCGTATGGAGCCCTGTCTTTGCCCCTCAACAATAAAATGTAACTATTAATCTCAATTTTGCTAAATAAAAGGATCTGGCTTGCATCAGTCACATGACTGCCATTAACCAATGCTCGCCCTTGAGGGCAGAGCGCGCTCGTTAAGAGCCGGGTACGAGCTCGCAAAGTGCACGCGCATTTTCTGCAGGCTGGGTGGTGCGGAGATGGAGGAGAAGCAGGCAAATTAATTGGAAGGTGCAGACTGCAACAAAACAGTAAACAGGGTGTACAGCGCACACTATAGTCTATAACAACAAATGAATTGAAATAAATGAGCGTGCTGTTTGTGCAACAGCGCGACAAACATTACCTGTCCTTTTATGAACTGCACAAGTAGTGGTGGTCATTAACTGCTAGCTAACTGGTGTTACAAGGGGGTCTGTAGCTCTGTCCACCGTTTTAGGGAACATGTTTTGTTTTAAAGTAAGTTACAGGACTTTTCCCTTCTTTTCTGGAGGGCTTTTATTTAACTAAAAACGATCTAATATGGATATCCACATAATTCCATATTGGATTCGTCATGAATGTGAGTTGTTGTTATTCAGCCTGTTCTATCTTTTTTAACTTTGAGCACCCGCCCCTTTAAACGTCTCTGCACGGCCCTGAGTATATGTGCAGTTGGCAGGTAGGTAATTAGGTCCACATCCTGAACATAAATACAGTCTCAGAACTATTCTGTGTTATACTGGGTGGTGTTTGTAGTATTTTATACCAGTTTATACGATGATACTGTTTCAATAACCCGTCTTAAGGACAGGGCCCCGCAACACGGCAGCTGTTCGGGGAGGGGCTCTTCGCCGCTCTGTGTAATTACTGCTTTATCGTATCAGTTGTGTTAGATGTAACAGAATTATTGTACCCGTGAGGAAAAAATAACTGATGATTTATAAATAATATTTGTAGCTGAAAATGCATTGCAGGTCTACAACAGAACTCAAACTACATGCAACACTGTGAGATTCTTTGAGGCTACGATGGATCTGTTCAACTCGGGCGCCCTCCAGTGGGGAATCCCGCATCATTCATCCTTCCTGATTAACTCACATTCATATATTTAATGTTTCCAGATGCTCGTTAAAATGGCACTGATTACTAATGGTGGTCTGTCGCCTTTTGGGCCGTTCCTCCGTTGTGACATGATTAACATTTAAACGCCAGGTTTCCGTTTACGCATGGAGTTATTACAATATCGAAGGAAACATCAGTTCAATATTTAATAAAGAACTGATCTAAGGCAAATACTTACCACAAATTGACATTAGGGAATGGTCGGTTTAAATTTAACCTCAATGCATACATGCGTTAGGTAGCACGCAGTTCCCAAAAACTGTTAAAAAATTTCTCATCACACGAGAGGATTGTTTCGATATTTTCCGATATTTGACAGACACAATGAAGAGCCTGAGGTTACACCAGGACTCCCGTCTTTCTTTGCTCCCCGTGGTTGCGCTTGCTGGGCGCCTGTCAATCAAAGGGGTTTCGGCCAATCAGAGGCGTTCCGGGGGCCGGCGCCCCGAATGCGCTCATCTAGTACAGCGGTGGCAGCGTCCCAGCCATAGGGTGGCGGACTTAGAAGAACGTGGAAATGCACAGCTCCCAGAAATTAACGAGGACGCGGTACAAATTTAAATCGCGCTTTGTAAAACTATAGATCTGTCTAAAGTAACTTGATATGCAATCATTAAACAAATTGGTGCTGATCAGAGCACCTGAAATCGCGTACGCAGCAGAAAAGATGGGTGATACTTTCAACCAAAGCGGCACGTTTAACCGGTCCCTGATGTACCAGGACAGGTTCAGCAGCCTGGAGGACATAGACGTGACTGCCGACGGGAGCCCGGTTCTCCGGATCCTGATCTCCATCGTGTACTCTGTAGTATGCGCCGTAGGCTTAGTGGGGAACTTGCTGGTCTTCTTCTTAATGAAGGTGAGACAGGTGAGGAAGAAATCAACCATAAACTTTTTCATCCTCAACCTGGCGGTGACAGACTTCCAGTTTGTGCTGACCTTGCCATTTTGGGCGGTGGACACTGCATTGGATTTCAGCTGGCCCTTTGGAAACGCGATGTGCAAAATAATCCTGTCGGTCACGGTGATGAATATGTACGCCAGCGTCTTCTTCCTCACTGCGATGAGCGTGACCCGCTACTGGTCCGTGGCTTCAGCCCTGAAGAACCGGACGCCCCGGTCTTTCCGATCGGTCAGGTGGGTCAGCGCACTCATGTGGCTCTGCGCGACTCTGGCCACGGCACCAACGTCTATCTTCTCCACTGTGACAAACGTAGCCGGTGAAAAACTGTGCCTATTGAAATTCCCCGATGGCCAGCACTGGCTAGCACTTTATCACCTTCAGAAGATCCTAATCGCCTTTGTTTTGCCCATGTTAATCGTTTCTGTTTGCTACCTACTGCTTCTGCGCTTCATCAGCCAGCGCGCCATGAACAACAACCACCCGAGGCGGACATCTAGGGTCACCAGATCAGTCACCACCGTTGTTCTTTCCTTTTTCCTTTGCTGGATGCCAAACCACGCCATCACTTTCTGGGGCGTCTTGGTCAAATTCAACGTGGTCTACTGGGACAGAACATACTACATGATCCATACTTACGTGTTCCCCGTGACTGTGTGCCTCGCACATGCCAACAGCTGCTTAAATCCAGTCCTCTACTGTCTCATGAGGAGGGAGTTCAGGAAGATGTTGAAGGATCTCTTCTGGCGGATTTCATCACCCGCTATTTCTAACAGCTGCCAGATACACCCATTTTCTGCCACCTTAAAAGCGGAGCAGGACGAGACACAGGTGGTGATTCCGCTCAATGCGCTGGACGCCGGGCGCTGTGCAAACAGGCAGTGTGACTTGCTGCCGTCCTCCAGCGCCGTGCTGTCCAGATAAAGCGCGACTACTCTCTCCAGTGGATAAAGTTTTCTTCATTTAACAACTCTTATTTATTTTCTTTGAAATCCGTGAAAGATGGTAAATTATTCGTCAACGAAGAGTAAAATGCACGGCGCCACTTTTATTTGCATTTTGGTTTGTTCTGCGTTTATGAGTCCCCATAAATGTTGGATTTGCATTTCATTGCTTTACATTATATATACGTACGAAAATGCCTTTTGTTAATGTAAAATCGTACGTTTTTTCCCAACAGCGAAACATAGGAAACGTGCTTTCGCCACGTGCTACAATATTTACGCATGCAGGTTCTCTTCATTATCAGCACTTTAAACACTTTTGCTGATTGTGCTTCGGTTTTGTGTTTTGACATACACGGTTAAATGTCCACAAATAATAATAAATATTCTACGTGAGTAATATATCCGCAACAATATTGTTGATGAAATCCTTGTATATTTACTTTGTCGTGGTGATGTACCAGCCTTGCGTATATGAGACGTGTGTACTGTTGAATAAATTCATGTAAATATTGTCCGTGGATGCATATGTCGATTATTAAAGTATAGTTTAACGTTTAAAATGCGAAATGAATACACTGTCTTTCCAAAAATAAAGTCGCATACGATTATATTTAACTGGACAGCCTTTAGATTTGATTACTGCACGCGTTCGTCTGGTTTATTTTCGTCCATATCTGCGTTAATTTCGATTTTGTATTGACGACGGGGTACTCGAACCACTCCGTAGTCTTCTCCAAGCACATCCCAAACAGTTTCAATGTTGACATGTTTACTGAAGCACGATTTCACCTGTTAGAGCCCGATGAATCTTGGTATTATCGTCCTGGAATATACCCATTCCATTAGGAAAGAAAATATCCACTGATGGGATAACCTGGTCATTCTGAAGATTCGGGTATACAGGCTGCCAGCCAGACTTGATTTTATTGCTACATAACACTGCAGAGCTTAGACCAGACCAACTGAAGGAAATGAGCAAAGTTATTTAATTTCAAACGACGACTTTTTTTTTTCTTTGGCCAGGCAATGTGCCATAACATTTTCGATGATGACGCTCAGAGGATTATATTAAAAAATAAATCGAAAAGGGCACAGGATAAGAAAGCGGGAGACAGGAGTCTGCGATCACTGGTCAGGACAATAACAGCAATTCTTCCCCGAACCAGGAGAAACGCGGCGGTTTGGAACGATCCTCTCACTCACTAGAAGGAAATAAAATCATCCGGAGCGCAAGATTATAGTAGGTGAAATATTTTCTTGTAAAGGCAAAACTGGTGAAGTGGTGACTAAATTACGCAAATTAGCCTATATTTGACGGCAGGATACAATTTATGAAGTAGTCACATTTTTTGATTGCACAGAAAACAGACCTCGAGCAGAATCGTTTTACTAATTAGATAATGCGGTCCGGAAAAATGGGGACGGAGAGGTGGTTGGCACCGTTGCTTAACCCCGAGATACGTATGTAGAGTTTACATGTTCTCCCCGTCTCTCCTCAAGGTCTAACTGCACACCGAATAGTGGCACCGAAGGAAACACCGAAGTAAATAATCACTTTGCATCGTACACCTATGTGAAAAATTATCTACCATGAGTGAGCGACTACGATACAAAGAACAAACACTAGATGGCATTACCCAGCAAACTGCAAATATTGTCTTCGAACGAGAGCAGGAAACGCAGAACTATTAAATAAATTAATGAAACATTACACAACTAACCATAGCTCTCAACCTGTATCAAAAATTGTTTATGTATAGGTGTGTTTATTAGGAGACAGATACTCTGCAGAACAGCAATAAAATTACAGATATAGAACGATTACAAACAATATGTAACGTAACATTATTTATTGGTCACATAAATATTTTATTTACTATGAAGTTATACTAAATAATAATCATGTCATCTAAGGATATACATGAACAGCAGGACTGTGCTGAGATGGGCCATAAGCAGTGAATGGCCTGGCCTCTCAAACTGCGAGAGCGTTTTTTTGGTGTGTGTGTGTGTGTGTGTGGGGGGGGGGGGTTATTTAGTGGAAGGGGGTGACAGACAATGCCAGCGTCCCATGAGGCAGCAGGAACCAGTTACATCTGGTTCAGTAGTCAACAGGGGGCAGCGTGACCATCTTGCTGAACTCTTCGTAGTGCACACGGCCATCAGGGCCCACGTTGGCTTCACGGAACAGCTCATCCACTGTGGTGGGGGGGGGGGGGGGAGGGGGTACACAGGTAAAAAGAACTTAATGCAAGAGCTGCATCCCAATACTGGTGACAGTTCATGTGAAGGTTGCAGGCCAGTCTGAATCAATGGTACTCTATTGGAAAGAAGAGTATATAACACAAAGTACCACAGAAGTACCCAAGCAGGTTTGGCACTTTCGGTACTGGCACTCAACCAGAAGTTAATGGAAGGCGACAGTACCGAAAGTACCGTACCAAAAATACGGTACAGTACTTGGTGTGGTGGAAAAGCGCCCATTGATTCAAACTTGAGTAAACACTAAAAGGAGAGACATGTTGCTTTAATGTGAGGATCCTGTACAGAAAGCAGCAGCCATGTGACGGAACACCCACCCTCCCTGTCTGTGAGCTTCTCCCCAAGGCCTGTGAGCTTGGCCCTCAGCTCAGAAGCCAGGATGTCTGTCATGCGCATGGCCTCCAGAATCTCGTTTTTGGGGTCTTCTTGCTGAGTCTGCCTATGCATCATAGTTAGGAAGGTTGAAAAATCTAGTTCTCCGTTCTTATCTGCACCAGAAAGGGAACAAGGGAAAGAAGAGAGTCAGAGAGAAAGTAAATCTTAGCTATATTACGTCTATATTGAAATTCGGATGAATGGGGGAAAAGGGGAAGGCGTTTAAAACGTTCATTCATTTCATAAACACTTATTTTTTTGCTTCTAGAATCTGCCTTAATAAACCTGTAATGTCCTAATTTGCGCAGTTCACGTGACCGCGGATCATGCATCCGGTACCTATCTTGTGGATCTGCAGGTGTCGCTCCACCTCGCTGAAGGTGGGACTGGTTCCCAAGCAGCGCATCACCGTAATCAGGTCCTTCGCTTCTATCTTCCCCTTCCGCTTCTTGTCATAGAGTGAAAAACACTCCTTGTATTCTGAAAGTGAAAAAAATACGTCCCTTCTCTGACCGCTTTACTGTCTTTCACGTACGTAGGCTATATTTTACTTTAGGTGTAAAACATAGCCTATATATATACTTACACGACAAGCAGTAAAATATACTCTTGGCGAAAAGAATACCCAGAGAATTTTATAGACTTCACATTTTCCTGATGCACCCTTCTTCAAATTTAATTAGATAATGGGAGCGTTTTCCCCAAGGGCCGGGTGAATGAAAGACAGGTGGCGTCGAATCTGCTACCAGCCTGGAGTATGACAGTAATCTCACTTTACTGGTCCCGCATTATTAATTAAGACGGGCGCTAGCGAGTTAAATGGCGCCCTGTTTCTCAAACATACCGTGGACCTAGAATGACTTTCAGATAACACATTGACCCACCCCCTGCTGTAAAATATTGTAATAAAACTAAACGAGACTGACTTCATTTTATACCCACACTTTATGTAGGCCTACTTCCCAGAAAATCAAATGAATAATGAGCATATATCGTTACCCTATCTAATTAATTTCAACAAATAATATTTTCTGTATTAAAATTTAAAAAACAGCATAGTTATTGACAATATTTGTAATGTAATCGTATAATTTGCAAATCTTTTACCATGTATTTGATCTTGCGTGAGGAATTTTGCCTGAAAAAAAAAGAATTAAAATAATTATCGCACGAAACGCAGTTATGCAACCGAACTGTACCGGACCGAATGGAGCGCTTACCATTCCGCTCCGTGCTCCGCTCTCGCTGACAGCCAGCCGGAATCGCGCACCCTTCCCTTACCTGCCGTTATTGTCCGGGCTCCAAAGTCCACTGATCTGTATGAGTAATGAATACTGCGTCTCTATGGCCGCTCACGCACATGACACCAGCGGTCACATAATCCGCTGTCGCTGGCCGCCGCTCAAATGGCCCGCGATGTAGCTTCCTTTTCAGACTTTACCCAATCATTAAATCAATCGAGCTCCTCGTACAGGTGAAAATTAAACAAAATAAAATCACGCAACTTGTTATTATAACGCTTTTATCTATTTTAGCGACCAAAAAGAAATTGGACAGTGTTAGGTTCACTACACCCCATTTCCCCCATAGTACTATAATACATTAATATATATTTTTCGTATTGTACTGCCTATGCCGGCCCTCTTACATGTAATTTAATTCATAGCACATGTATTTATTGCATTGCCGTTTATTAAATGACCACGTCTTATTGCACTGTGTTTGAAGCTTCGTAACCTCTTGTATGTTTGTCGCACTGTAGTCCCTATAGGTGGGGGCGTTGCTAGAGATTTTGGGCCCATGAAGGCATATCATTTTGGGCCACCCAGTCCAGTTATTTTCCAAGTTTTTTAGGCCCCCTGTCACTCAGGAGCCACTGGAATCGTCCTAACTACACCCTCCTTACGGCGCCCCTCGACATAGGTCCACGTCCCCACTGTACATTGTATATTTATACGGATGGGATGACAGTAAACTCACGTCATAAGACTCAATGCAGTCCTCTAGCAATCGCAAAGCTATCAAAAGGCAGTTCATGTTCAAAGGAAAATAAGTAATGCATTATATAACATTCCCCAGCAACTGAGCTGATTAAAAATGCCCGTATTAACTATTTATTCATTGGAACATGTAGTCTAAAATAAAAGGTTCACAAAAATAAAATAATCAATGCAGTATATTGATGCAGTTATTTATATCAGGCTTCATTGATGTAGTTTCTTTGTGATGTACGATTTCCTTTAATTCTTTATTCTGAAATGGCAAGACTATACCAAACCAAAATGGTGATTGCCAGCCTCAGTGCTTGCCATTAAGTGAAATTTTTATGGGAAGTACAGCAAATGTGCGAGCTCAAATGGTTGTTCCTTTCATGACAGATCGGATGAGAGACCCCGTCCGGCACAGGAATGATGATACATCCACATCCACATACATGAGGGGGTGTAGCACTGAGCGTTTGCAGGCGGTATAAAAATGGCCAGCAGATGTCAGTAGAAGCCCGGAAACGTTGGACTTCGTATTTACCTCAGCACTTCTTAAGAGGGTAATCCGCTGTCGCTTGAAGCAGTGTTGGCAGACTTCCACAATACCAGCACTCGTAAGGTTGGGATCCTGCTGGGACAGCCTCAGCTGAACCCTAGTCTCCACAGATCTCCCCCTAACAGGTTTAGGGACATGTGACACAGCCGTCATGGTGAATCGGGTGTAACGCAGGGACAGGAACTGCAGTCACCTCCTCGAGGCTGACTGGTTTGCAGGACACCTGTATGGATTCAGGGTTTGAATGCAGGTGAGATGGCTAGCAGTGGGATCAAACCATTTAGAAGCGGGATGTAAAATGATGACTATGATTGTGATTATATTTACTATGATAATTATCATCACATTCCATTAACATGCTCTCCAGCTGAGCCCTGGTATTTCTGAATTAAGTATCAATGAGACGCATCCCATTATAAACACTGCAGTCCCAGGGTCTGAAGATTGACGCCACTGTTGGAACCCTGGACGAGACACTTATTCCCCAAAGGTTCCAGCGACTGGTTGTCTCTGCTTTCCCCAAAAAAATAAACATTCACCACTTTGGATAAAATTCGGTTTAAATAAAAATGAGTTGTCCAGCTCACTGCATATTAATGGAGCGATGAGTCTACCTGCCTAATCAGACTGGTTGCCAATCAGATCCCAGCAGCGGCTATCAAAGCAGGAGGACATGGCTGGGAAATGAGGTCGGGTGTCGCCTTACAGGCCCCCAGGGTCGCCGCTTGTCAGTCCTGCCGCATGGCTATGTTACCTTAGCCCCCGTGCCAGTGTACATGTCCTTAGTCCCTGCACAGTTTCACTGCCATACTCGCTGGGCTGACTGATAACCCTGAAAGCTGTAGGGGTCGCTGGCGTCCCCAATGCTACATTCATGTGGCTCTTTACGTAAGGAGATCAAGCGAGGTTCCACCAAAAGCCTCGCCAAGCCTTCGGGGTCTCTGTGACGACACAGCGCCATCTGTAGGGCACATGTGGATGTGCAGCCTGGCCCACACATTGGTCTTATTGAAAGACAGAAAAGTGAACCCCGTGTTAGATGGAACGAGATGATAACATTGAAGGAAAGATGCACCTTTTCACTGCAAAGCATCAATAGCTCAGGTTGACTCGTTCATAACCAGATATTCATCTAATGTCAAAACCATAAAAACGCTCCAGGCACCAGATAAATGACTGAGACCCTCAGACCCCAAGCTTCACTCTCACCTATATATGTGCCTTAAAACGCAGAGCATGATGGGAAATATGAAAACGAACACATTCCAGTGCACCAGTGTTCCAGTAATTGTATAAATGGCAAATAAAGTTTCATTTCATTAACTTGGCATGCGGACTTCAAGGCTGGTTGACCAAAATCCAAATCTGAATCAGTCTGAAGCTGAATCTATAATTAAGTGTGTAGATACTGTAATACCAAACACACAGAGGCAACTCAGAACTGGCTGTGATGGTCATGGACTCAAATCTCTTTGGGAAGTACTTTCCTCTTCAGACAAGTACTGCAAAGTACTGCAAAGTACTGTGAAGTACTGTTCTCTGGCCAGAAGTATCGTCCTCTTGAGATGTCTCACTCCACGGTAATAAAACATCGATACATGCAGACGTATAACCAATGTGTGTGTTAAAGGAGGGAGATGATTTACGAAACAACCCGAAAACAGAAAGTAATCAAGTAAGCTGCCCAGTTAAGAAACAAGGCTTGTGTATTTAAAAAATAAAACACCTGAAATATGCAGTAAATGACAACAAAATTCATTCAGTGAAGTTGATCTTTCAAAAGGCCACATGTAATTAGAGAAATTAACTCACATTCATCTCTCATGTCAGTTCATCGTGCAAGTAGATTAAGCTGGAGTTTATAACACAATATCACTGTTAGTAACAGTCATACATAACACTTCGTTAAAATATATAAGCTTCTAAAAAACCTCTCCTAAGACTATTGGAATAAGTAACTATGTAAGTATATTTACTGTCCCCTCAGTGTCGCATTGCCTTAATGTGGGGGGGGTGTACAGGAAGTCAACCCTGCCAGTGCACCCCAACAACGTGGAGGAGGAACTTAGAGTAGATACCATACCTTTGTGCCCACCAGTCAGTTTGCTTGACCACTGCTACCCCAAGCAGATGTGGAAACGGGGTGAAAATTAGGTAAAAAAAAAAAAACATCCTATAACAGCTTTGGGGTTTCAGATTGGTCGGCTCCAGAACACCATTTCCTGCAAGAGCGCCACCCAGTGGCAGCCTGTGATTAGCTAGCGGCCCTTAACATGCAGGGTGTAGAAGGACCAGGGCTCGGGCACGTAGATGATGCCGGGGTAGCGCCTGCGCAGGACATCGTCGTTCCAGAGGCATGCCACCCAGACGCTGACCAGCAGCAGAGCCAGGCCGAAGCTGTAGAACAGGAAGAGCCCGTTACTGTCCGGAACCAGGCCCTTCTGCTTCTGGTGCATGACCGTGGCCTGCATGGCGAAGAAGGTGAAGATGAAGAGGATGAAGATCTGGCCTTCGGTCACCAGGTACCTGCGGGGACACCACAAATGGGGGAGGTCACCTTCATCTTTCCCATACTCATGATACAAACATCAACCGCTGTTGGGTACAGCTCAGTGCAGGAGGACACAGCAGGAGGTCAAAACAAGCCAGGAGAGATCGAGGAAAGCAGCTCTCCTCCGATTATTTAATGGAGGACAACAACAACAACAACAACAACAACAACAACAGAACTTATATTGGTGTCACTCATGGATGCAAAGGACAATCAAGCATGAGAAACGCTGAGCTCATACCACCTGCTGACTACTCCCCAATCCCTGCCCAGGGAAAACATGTAATGGGCGGGGCCAAAAAAGACTAACCAATAGTAGAGCGCGCTGGGTCCCAACAAGAGCCAGGAGGACAGCGGTGTCCTCCCCCCCTCCCGGACGTTTGTGAAGCAGCCCGTGAAGTAAACGTAGAGGATGATGAAGAAGGGAATGTACCTGCAGAGTCGGGGGGGATAAAAGAGGACATTTTACCCCCGCTGGATGATTAGAAAAGTACAATGAAATGAAGTTTTATTTGCTATTTGTACAAGAATGGGCACATTGAAATGTGTTACTTTTTCCATATCCTATCTTATTCTTTTTAAAGACAAACACATATATAGTGAAGCTTGGGGTCTGAGCGCAGGGTGAGTCATTTATCCGCCTCCCCAGCAGCATTTTTCAGGGGTTAAGGGCTCAGCGGAGATGTGACTATTCTGTCAAACACAGGATTCAAACCAGCGACCCTCTGATCAGTCAGGGAAGCCTAACCTGCTGAGCCACACACCGCCCCCCCCTTGGCCCCCAGCCCCCGTACGCACACACCACAAGGAGGTACCAGTCTGACTACCTTCACCACCAGTGAGAAAAGCAGTGAAATTTTAAACAAAGTGCAATGGAAAGACTCCAGTGGACAGCAGTGAGATTTCACAGTTTCCCATAGAAGGGCGGGGCGGCCCCAGCTTACCACATCGAATGGCCGAGGTTCTCGTCATAATAGTAAAGAAGCTCAAATGAGTCGATCTGTGGGACAGAAAGGGAGCATCAGGCAGCGGATCGCACCAACTCTAGGGGGGAGTCATTTCTCTCTCATTCATTATCTGTCCAATGAGAGTCAGTGGATGAGTGACCACTGTCATCTCTAACCCCCCACACCAGCCCCAGTGGGTCAGTCTAGGCCTGTAACGATAACTACTCCTGTTGGACGATATCTCGTCCCAGAAATAACTGTGATAAATGATATTATTGCCATTTTAAGATCATATTATGGCACTGATATAATGACAATATAACAGCATTATAATGCAAGAACATCCTTTCAAAGAGCAATGTGCTTTTAATTCTTAAGTATAAATTGAAATGTCAAACAAAATTAAATATCCTTAATAAATAAAACATAAATACACAACTAAAAATAAAGATAAAAGGCTCTCGGGCTCTTAACAAAAATCATATTATACATTCAACATTTTGGGACAGGGGTATAGAGAGTCATTTGTTCCTCCAGATTTGCAGAGGCTCTGCTCGGTGACGCAAATGAACCTGGATCATTTATCGCCCAGGGGACAAATAACAGGAAGTCCGAAAGACATCGGACTAAAGTTTGTATATAGACACTTTTTCTGCCCTCTGATTAGAATGGCAACAAAAATAGCTAGCAGATTTGAAGATTCCTTGCTAAAGGATTATAAAGACTCTTAAATGGCTACAACTTAAGATAAATTGCAATTACACTGCAACGCTACATACCTGTGTATGTTTTTGCATCACTTGTTATTGTTTTGATCTGTAATTTATTTAATTTCATTTGAAATCTAGATTAGTTTCAGGTGTGGGTTCATTAGTTTTCATTTTAAAGATGTGAATCTATTTAGTTGTTATATATTTTACTTCTAGGGATAGACGGAAAGTTGTAGGACTTTGCTGGTTACTACATGTCACAGTGTGCTGCTGTTGCCTCTTCCTATGGTTTTAGTTCACTGCACGAGAGTCGCAAAGATAAACAAATCTTCACATTTGTTATATAGCATTTTGAATAGGTAATGGGAAGTATGTGATATATGTTTATATTTTATCTCAGTTGATTTCAGAACCAATATTTATAGATGTCACTTAGCTGTACTTTTTATTTTATTTCCGTATCTTATTTTATTTCAGTTAATGTTTTCGTTAATGATTCTAACCCTGCCTTGCGTACTGTGAGTACATAACGTACGGTTAGTTTTAGTAAAATTATTATTTATTCTTATAACATGCATACCCCAGTTCATAAACATGACATTTAAGAGCAGGTTTCGCCTGGTGTGTTGGTGCTGAAAGTGTGATCGATCAGGACCGAGGACGGTCCAGCCCAGCTGTGTGCTACGTATGAATCACGCCTGCGACACAGCAGACGAGGGCTGAAACGTTGGGAACATTCAATTTGCCAATATCGAGGTCAGAAAAAATTATTGAGGTCGTCCATACATCGTGCGATAAGTCAGTAACATAATTACCGTGACAGGTCAAGTTCAGTCCTTTTATTTACTTGTATAAGACTCATATCTACCACTCTAACCTCCCCTGTCCGTAAAAAACAAAACACATTTTCTGTTGACTTTAATTGTAATTAAGGCCTCTGCAGTTTACAGTGCAGTATGAAGTTTGAAAGCCAATCATCTTGACTCACTGATTAAGGGCTTCCTGTCAGGAATGAGATCAGCACTGATGCTGTATTTAGGAAGAATACAGTCTCATTGTGGAACTGTTAAGTACTCATAATCCCATCGAAGCCGATCCCGTAAGAGGCCCTGCTGTTGTACCCTTGAGGGTGGTGCTCCAGTTAAAATGCAATGATTAATAATGACTAGTGCAGCAGGGGAGTTCAGTAACACAGGAGTGCATCCAACCCTCAGACACTCACATGTCATCCTGCAATGACCAACGGACAAAAACACAACCTAGACGTCTGAAGTTTATACTTGCAAAGCCTGAGCTTATACAACTCATTTGAAAACATTCAAAGATTTCCTACACACTCCAGTTAATGGCGAGTCTACTCTCACTCTAGTGGGCGGATTACCAGAGAGGCCGGCTGCAGGTTCTTGATGATGGGGTTCTCCCGGACGGAGAGGTGCAACTGGTAGCCACTTAGCACCAGCCGGTGGTTGACAGAGTCGCCCACCAGATGGATGCTGGCTCCCATGACGAAGGTGATGATGCAGAGGTACACCGCCGAGCGGGGGAGGGTCTTGGAACTGCGCTCTATAAGCTGAGATGGGTACACACAGCCTGAGGTTCTGGAGGCTCCCTGTTTGCCACAAACAGTAACTAGAAGCTAAAGCAGCATGTTCTGCTAACCAGCTAGTTAGCTATAATCGTAGGACTCTACTCGCTGGGTTTTTGAAACATCTGAGTGGGGCCCCAGAGTGACTTTTTATGTGGGGCCCCAGAAACAACAAAGCGGCCCCTGCATGTGACAGCAGCACACTGGACGCTGGTTGGCTCCTCATCCTCGCAGAGTTTCCATGCATCTCGATTTAGTGGCCAGTGTTGCAAATTGCAGGGCTGGAAGGTCAGCCGTAAACATGGGGGGATGTAAAGAGCTCGTCTGCCTGTGCCTGAATGCACTCATTAAACTTTCAGGCTGTCAAGCGTTATACTATCCAGTGTTACAGGCCAAACGACATGCAGGGGCTGCGTCAGCTTAGAAAGCGAATGGTAAAGTTATGGTATGGAGACGCGGGGGTGTTCAGGACCGTGCCCTCAGGAAGCGGCACGCGGTGTTCTGCTGTTACCTTCAGAAGCAGGAAGGGCGTGATGACGTTGTAAGCCATGTGGAAGTAATCGCCAGCGCTGGGCTTGTTCAGGGGGAACCACTCAAGCGGGAAGACC